GAGGGAAGGGGCCGGGTGCCTTCATGATGTCTAAGCTTTCTAGGTTTCCACGTGCCCCTGCAAAAATCAAAGTGTATTCTTTCACCTGTCCACAACTTCATGAGGATGGAGACGGAGGCAATGACTGCACCTCTGAAGTGGATAGCAGAAAATAAGAGGAACAGAGTAATTACAATGTCTGATTGATTCTCAGTTGATACTGCAAAGGTTCACAATGGATAAATGTGGCCACGGCCTTCTTTGTTTATAGGCCAAACAGGTCAACGGGGATTTCCGTTCTTGTGCAAAAATGGAGTCCCTCTGTGTTAACAGTTTTTATCGAGGAGATGTATGTACAAATTAAACTACAGTTTCATTAATTTGCGACATATTTTATAGAATTATATGTCATTTTTAAGGTATATAAGTGTGATATTGAAATATAACAATAAAGGCTTTAATAGACAAACAAAAATACTTTTGTTACAGTCAACATGAACATAAACATCAATAACGTATAGATATAAACTGAAAGTTATTCCAGCAAAAGTAAAGAAATATTAGAGAAGGCGTTGATGTGGCATGCGTGGATTCCAAGCATCACCAAGTCAACACTACAAGGACTTGTGTTGATATACTGTCGGAATATGCAGGAGTACGATGGAGAGAAAGAACTGATTTGTCTAGCTACAAATGCGAAAGCTTCGGGAACACTGGACAAAGCAGACTTTCCGAACACCTTTCATAAACAAACACTGATAGAAGACAAAAGAAGTTAGATAGAATAACATTGTACGAATGTGCGAACAAAGAATCAGAAGTAGGTCCGGCAAGAAAGGACAATCAGAGGGAAAAACACAACTTGAGTATAATCAGTGAGATACGGAAACAGTTAGCATCTACACTTTAAATCCTTTCCTGCGGAAGACATAGCATCTGTGGGTATGCCCGATGTGCTGTGATGCAGTTTCTTCAATCTTCTTCTCTTCGCGTTCAACGGCTGTAAACTCTGGCGGATAGTTTTGGTTGTTGGGCCACTTCTGGACTTTACTCTTGGTCCAGAACTTGAATGTTGCGCTCACATTTGTTTTATAGATCTGAATTATTTGTAAGCAGATTGTTAGTTCCTTGCCTCTCAGGCAGATGCACTTCGACTTCGAAGGAAGCCCCCAATTAGTCCACTTTTACGACATGCGTGTTGGGGAGGCAGTTGGTCTATTCTTGTTTTCCCCAAAATAAGGCCCCGGAAACCACACGGAGAGATCCTTTAATCTGTAACCAGTAATCACCGATCTTTTTTCCCCCTTACAATCTCTATTCTGCAGGTGAAAAACAACTTCCTCTTCTCATCAAAGACCTTAGTCAACGGTAAAAAGAGCAAGTTCATCAACGACGTCATCGTGGCTAAAGACGGCACTATTCTGTTTACAGACTCCAGTACTAGATGGGGCCGAAAAGAGTTTCTTTACGTCGTATTAGAAGGAGAAGCTTCTGGAAGGTAGAGAATAAAAGTCGAAATTTTTCATTATGTTGTGCTGTATGTACGTCTTCTTCTCCTTCTCCTCCTCCTTCTCCTCCTCCTCCAATTCCGTTCTAGGTGGGAAAAAATCGCAACCACGTCCATCCTGCTAGTGATAGCCGAAACCCTATTTCGTATCAATAGAGAAGAGCGTGTGGTCGAAGAAATTCACCTGTGTATCGTTGCGCATTCAAGATCCTTCAATGTGCACAGATTGACTCATTCCGTTGCAACTGATCGTAGCCACACTACTGCACCTCCACCACCCTGCGACGGAGCTTCGTCGGCACAATTTTGGGCTAAACGTTCATTTCGCCTACGGCAGACATTGTCTAGCAAGATGCTGCAACAAAAACAAACACTCGCGACTAAACCAGACACAACCCCATTGAATGTCAGCTACCCCGCGACTATGGTGGATGGCACGACAAAGTTTATCTTGGTGACTGCGGTGCCTTAGGATTTCAGTGAGGTCATCGTGCCCAAAGTTCAGCGTCATGTAGTCTAATGCGAACAGTTTGATCAGACACATGACGACCTGGAAGCAATGACTGGTAGTTGAGGAATTTGCAAACCTGTTTCTAAGGTGAAGAAGCCAAACAAAGCGATCACCGACTGTTGTCACTCCGGGTCGTCCACTGCGATGCATGTCTTCAATGGAGCCAGTGGTTTAGAACCGGTAACAACGCCGTCTGATGGTACTCTAAGGCACGTTTAGATGCCTGGCCACCTGATTTTAAGTTGTAATGAGCCAGTAACAATGTAAATTTATCGATAGAGACACTATACATGTTGATAGAGACACTATACATGTCGATAGAGACACCATACATGTCGATAGAGACACCATACATGTCGATAGAGACACCATACATGTCGATAGAGACACCATGAGAGACACATGCATGTCACCATAGTCGATAGAGACACCATACATGTCGATAATAGAAACACCATACATGTCATAGAGAACACATACATAGAGACATGTCGATAGAGACACTATACATGTCGATAAAGACACCATTCATGTCGACAGAGACACCATACATGTCGATAGAAACACCATACATGTCTATAGAGTCACCATACATATCGATAGAGACACCATACATGTCGATAGAGACACCATACATGTCAATAGAGACAGCATAAATGTCGATAGAGACACCATACATGAATACACCATACATGTCGATAGAGACACACATATACATGTCGATAGAGACACCATACATGTCATACATGTCGATAGAGACACCATACATGTCGATAGAACCATACATGTCGATATGTCGATACATGTCGATAGAAACACCATACATGTCGATAGAGACACCATACATGTCGATAGAGACACCATACATGTCAATAGAGACACCATACATGTCGATAGAGACACCATACATGTCGATAGAGACACCATACATATAGAGACACCATACATGTCGATAGAGACACCATACATGTCGATAGAGACACCATACATGTCGATAGAGAACCATACATGTCGATAGAGACACCATACATGTCGATAGAGACACCATACATGTCGATAGAGACACCATACATGTCGATAGAGACACCATACATGTCGAAACACCATACATGTCAATAGAAACATGTCGATAGAGAAACACCATACATGTCAATAGAAAAATCATACATGTCGATAGAAACACCATACATGTCGATAGAGACACCATACATGTCGATAGAGCACCATACATGTCGATAGAGACACCATACATGTCGATAGAGACACCATACATGTCAATAGAAACATCATACATGTCAATAGAAACACCATACATGTCAATAGAAACATCATACATGTCAATAGAAACACCATACATGTCAATAGAGACACCATACATGTCAATAGAAACATCATACATGTCAATAGAAACATCATACATGTCAATAGAAACATCATACATGTCAATAGAAACACCATACATGTCAATAGAAACACCATACATGTCAATAGAAACACCATACATGTCGATAGAAACACCATACATGTCGATAGAAACACAATACATGTCAATAGAAACACCATACATGTCAATAGAAACACCATACATGTCGATAGAGACACCATACATGTCGATAGAGACACCATACATGTCGATAGAGACACCATACATGTCGATAGAAACACCATACATGTCGATAGAGACACCATACATGTCAATAGAAACACCATACATGTCAATAGAAACATCATACATGTCAATAGAAACACCATACATGTCAATAGAAACATCATACATGTCGATAGAAACACCATACATGTCTGCTGGAAAATTTAATGAACCTTCTCCCTGATTTTGGTCACTTGAAACGTCATGGAAGTCTAGAGAGAACAATCAATAGAAGGCCAACATCATACATGTCAGATGAGAGATGGGTGTATCAGACGCAGGACATCTTGCTCATGATAGAAAGGTTTTCCGGAGGGTTGTTATGGCAGCGAGGTTCCGCGAGGGACATGCTACTGAATGAATGAATGAATGAATCTCCCTGAGGCCACTTCCCGAAAATTTAATTGACCTGAGCACCCACCCCTGAGTGCTTTGTGGCGACGCCCCTGTTTTATGACCCATTTTGTCCGGGCCCATCTGGATAAATTAAAAACAATAATTTTCCGCTCGGTGACGATGGACCAAACAGAATAATTCAATTTAAACTGAAGTGCCTGCTAATGAACTACAGTTTAAAAAAAATTTTTTTTTTTTTTAGGGCTGATATTACCAATGTGCTCTCCTCACTCTTATTTAACATCTATATAGACAGAATATCTAAAGAAGCAAGTTATGGTACAGACAACATAGACCTTTATAATCACGAGGAAGTACACACATCAGGAGAGGTAATCTATTCACCCACATTAAACGAACTACTATTTGCTGACCCAGTGCTTGTTCTACCCTGAAGAAGACAGACTGCAAGACCACGTTAACAGGTTAAACTCAGCATGCGGTAAATACTACATGAAGATCAATGCAAACAAAACCGAAACAATGCAAGTTAGTAAAACACCTGCTCCACTACACATACAGCTGAATGGCTCTGCTCTGAATCAAGTTAGAGAGTTTAAATATCTAGGAAGTATGATCACAGAAGATGGTAGAATTAACAGAGAAATAGAAACCAGATGTCAGAAAGCAAGTGCACTTATGTACCACCGTGTCACCATTATTAAGACATCCAAGCAAAACTATGAGTGCAAAGAGACAGATTATTAATAGCATATTTATTCCAACATTTAAGCTACCAGTGCCAAATATGGACACTATCTGAAGCCCATATACACAAAATTACCACCTGCGAGATGAGGTGCCTGAGAAAAGCAGCCAACCTAACCATCTGAGATCGAGTGAATAATGAAACTATCAGGCAAATTGTGGGAACGACACCTTGTACTAGATTCATCGAGAAACAGCAGATCAAGTGGTTTGGCCATCTCGTTAGTATGCAGCAAGATCAAATACCATCA